TTTTAGCTTGCTTTACATTGATAAAACAAACTTCCTCAAATTAGGGTAGGTACAAAATGAATGAACTCAAATAAACTTATGCCACCCTTCAATTGTAAATTTAGAAAATGTATGTATATATGTATCATTAGATAAATGAGATCATTTGAAGTCTATACTAGTATTCGATCATGTGCATTTGTACAGATATAAATAAAATATTATAAATTATTTATATGTATATAATATTAAAATTATAAGTTATATAATGACATTTAATTTTAAACATAGAGTATTATAAAAAAATATTTATGCATATAATATTAAAGTTTTTAAATATATTGCAGGACCATTTTGTAGGAAGGCTATTTTTAATAGGATTTGATTTTACAAAATATTTTATGTATCTTTGTAATATCTGAAAAAATATTTTTTTATTATTGTATGCTTGCAATAGAAAATAGCGATGTTTATAGTCATTCGTAATTAATCGTAAAATATGTATTTATATAATACCAAAATATATATAATATCAAAACAAAAACAAAAATATATTGTATTCAGGACATAAAAAGGCGTTACAGAAATGTACACCATTTAAAATGAGACATGTCAAAATAAAATGTGTAACTGAAAGTTACATATTTTTATTAAATGGTTAACATATTTTTATTAAATGAACACCTATTTTAATTAAATGAATTACTATTATTATTAATTGTTGGCTGAATAGAATTTATTGAAGATTGCCAACAATAATATATATAGATTTGAGCACAATTTTTTTTATGAAACAGCATAAATTGTTAGATGTGTTGAACCGTCATGTTCTTTTAACAAAAAAGAATAATTATCCTATGAAATGTAGTTATATTTCAAACTATGACATTCAATTGAAAAAGTATAACGGTATAATCTTTAAATTCGCTTCACAACATATTTACTGGTATTTTAAGACAACGAGATACTTTAGTAATAAAGTTTAAAAAGTCAATACACAACTCGTTTGATCCAACGGTTTCAATTATTCGTATGCAACCGTGATATATGGATCACAAAGTTAAAAAAAAAAAATTGAAAATTTCAATAATGCAAAAGGATCAACAAAAATGTTTTGTCATCTTACCTACTTCAAGTGCATTGGAGTTTACAGTGTACAGTAGAGAAGATAGTAGTAAACACCCAAACAAAATGTGAGGAAAACTGTAATTATTGAAACTCATTGATGCCAAACTTTTTGTTTGTAATGAGGGAGACAGATNTCCTTTTTTAATCTTTGGTGAGATTATGAATTATGATACATTAGGCTTACATGCAAGCTCATATATATAGTGCTAATGGCATGAAATTGTTGCGTATTAATAACAAATTAAATCAGATTTGCAGGCATGAATGAGGGTTAATTAACGTGACTCAATGTAGGTTCTAGGCTATGTAGATAGTTAATTAGACTTCTCTTGCTGAGACGTGTTGGATGATAGTATGATTTGAATTTAGATGCTATAATTTTGTGCACATATGGCTTGTTGTAAAGTGCTAATCAACTAAGCTTAGTATAATTAGAAATTGTTTAATTTTGAGTACAATTGTTGGGTTTGCTTGGTAATTCAGAGGGTATAATTTATTGAATTCGTAGTTCGACACTTTATGTTGAGTTGAAGTCGACAGTTTAGGTGTCACGAAGTCACATATATAAACTGCTAAAACCCATGTAATTAGTAGTGTTTATAGCTTGACACTTTTCTAAATATGTGATTAATGAAGGCATGAACAATGTTCCGTCGCAAGTAAATGTAGTTTTGATCCATTTTTGTAGAACTGGTAATTGTTTAGACTAAATGATTGTGTTAATTAGTTGCCCACAAACTCATAATCATACTAATAGATATTAATATAGTTGATTAATAAGATAATTGTGAACACAAATTAAGAGTAAAATATTATTTCTTCAAAAATTTTGTTATCGTTTTCAGAGATGGATTCAAGAGTATTTTGAGCGAAGGTGCACTTGGGAAAATACTAAAATAAATAAAGTAATTGCCCACAAAAAAATAAATAATAAAAAAAAAAAGGAATTAAAACGAAATAGATAATTTAGCCGAATCGAAGTAAAAGGAAAAAAACAAATGCCCCCATGCAGGATCGAACTACAGACCTTCAGTTTACAAGACTGACGCTCTACCACTGAGCTATAGGGGCTGTTTAATTACAATATTATTATAAAATTACATATTTTTAACTGTCACTATTGTGAAAAGCCAGATATTTAACTAATTTATTTATTAGTTGACAAATACATTTTCGGTTTACTTTCTTTTATTTAAGGTACATACTACGTTACGTAGTTGTAGCTCTTAATTCCATAAATCTCATTTACCAGAATTCGGCAAGCTAGCAGTACTACGATGCATTCGATAAGAATGATGGTACAGTACTTTGTAGTTTACGTACTCATGTGATACACGTGCTAGTATATTAAGGAAAATATTTTAATTTGAATGATGGATCATTGTATAAAACATAAAACACATTTATTGGAATAAAATAAAATACTATTTATATATATTAAACATCTATTCATACACAATATTATTTGTTTGACTTTTTGGTACATCTCCATTACCACAAATTAAAATTTTCAAACTATTACGATTCACAACGCGTGAAACAATTACATACAATTGATCGTGACCGAACACTGATTTCTTCAAGAACATGCAACATGCGATATCCTTCTCTCTTTCTCTCTCTCTCTTTCTCTCTCTCCCTCTCTCTTTATTTTTTTACATTTGACATTGTATCTTTCGTTCCTTTTTTTATTACATTTGATATGGTATCTCATAATGAATCTAGCAATTTTTTTGAAATTAAAATCGGGATTATATCACAGTGTGTTGAAATGGTTTGTAAAGATTGATTTTTCTATCGGGGCTAGTGTATGAAGCATGTGCTATATATTTACGTTTAACAATTGTTAGTATAAAATCTGTTAAGATAATATAGTTTTGGTAGTAAATCAATAGGTATGTTAAATAAATGAAATATATAATATGAAAGAAATAACCTATTGGTATAAAAAAATCTTTTAAGATACCAAAGATGTTCGTCTATTTTTATTTTTATTTTTTGCACTTAATATTGTATCTCTTAATAAAAAAATATGTATGTAAAAAATTAGTGTTTTGAACCAATTTTAGTGTGTATAAATATTTTATTTAAGAATGAATACGTTTTTTACCCGATTTACTGTTTATATTTATTTTTTTATGCAAATGCAAATTAAAAAAAAATACAACTCTTTATTAGTGAAAAGAATATTTTTATAGAATATGAACAATGAACAAATACGTTTAATAAATAATGTGTTGTATGAATTTTAAAAAGTTCACACATACTGCGTGAATTAACGTTGAACAATTGTAGAGATATATTAGGAATTGATTTTTGAAATAACTAGAAAAAAAAATAGTTGAAATCGCTGAAAAAAAATATTAAATAGCGTGTAAATTTTGCATTTATCATAATTAGAAAGTTAAAATTAATTAATTTAGATTGTTACTACTATATTTAGTAAATAGACAACCTTATTATTTTACAAAATATAACTTAAATCCTTCACATCATTTTTTTCACCACAGGCCGCCCAGTCGCAGCTGGAAATTGCCACCGCAAGCCCCAGTGACAATCCCGCGCCCCGCCTGCTCTGCTTGCACGCTGCCTCCCGAGATCCTTGCGCGCATACTCCTCGAAGTATTAGGAGACGTGCCACGCACGCTGAGTTCCCCGAAACGCACGCTAGCCGCCCGCACCCGACGCTCAGGATAACCTGCACGCGCCCAACGATACGACGCCGCAGCTGCTGCTCCCAGACGCGCACCAGGCCAGCTCCCAGCAGCGCCCGACGCGCGTGATGGTCTGCATCCGTTCGACACCCGACCCTGCAGACACACCAGGCCAGCGAACAACACCTGACCCGCAGCCTCGACCTGCAGTACATGACTTACATCCGGACCACGCCCGACGCACGCCTAGTTCCCCAACGACTCGAGTTCGACCGAGGGGGCCTAGTCTGGCTACCCAACGGACTCTGCGGTTCAGACGATCTCCTATAGAGGAAATCTACAACGTCTCATTAGTCGAAAAAAATTTTAAGAGGTAATGTCCTAATTCTAACTATAGATTCCACTGCGTTAGGATTTAGTCCTAAGTTCGAATGTGCATATCGATGGCGTTCCTAAGAGAACCCAACATTGGCATGCCGAGCAAGCTCCAAGTAAGAACTTAAGAGTAACATCTCCACATGCATACTCACAAATTCTACAGGCATCATCTATGTACGGGTAAAGAAACTTAGGTATGGAATAACTATATCAAGGAAATAAAATGCAACTAAACACCAAAAGACTCAACATCCAGATAAAGTCGTCTACACGACCTTTATCCTCCGCATATTGCCCTAGCAAATCTACAACGTCTTTCCTTTTCAAGCTCCTATGGTCTCCCCGACCCCAACCTTCAAATGACACTTTCGATTCTAGGCCAACATCTAAATCTACCCCTAGTACGGTCTATCTCAGTCCCATGGTAATACAAAATTCAGAAAGATCGGATTAAGGAAACAAATTGTCTCTGACTACAAATGCATTGTTATTTATCCTATATGTACTAATCAAGGCTTCTACTCTGGTATAGGTTATCGGTAAGTCAGACAACTTAAAAAATAAATAAAACATACTCTTTTGTAAAGCCTACTTATGTGCGTATGAAAGAACAACATTTATCTTGTTCATTACATCTTTGAAATATGCAGACGAACGCCTTGATCTCAATTCATTACCCAATAACATAAATATAAAACAAAACAAATTTTCAAACATATCATATATGCTAAACAGCTGCCACGTTGTTGTTTTCTTCTACATAACGTATATAATAAAACAATCAAATATAGAAAAAACAAATTTTGAACCAAAGTGTGGTACACATCCAATAATCAAAAGATTGCAGTTCACACTACTCTAATACTACATAATAGAGTAGTTCTGCTAAGCCTTAAGGCTGAACAAAACCAATCGGAACTAGAAGCACTCCAAAAATATAAAATTACCAGTAACAAACTAAATACAGGCAACTAACAACACATCAATTTATTTACAAATTAAATCAGAAAATTAAATCGACAACCAACACACAAAGGCTATGTTTGGTAAAACTAACTCATAAGCTAACTTATAGCTTATCAGTAATTTTTGAGCTTATAGCCTATAGCTTATGACTTATAGCTGAAAAGTTAGCTTATATGATATAGCCAAAGATGAAAGAAAATTAGGAAGCATCTGTAACATAAGTACATGAGAAGAAAGAATGTAGCAGATTAAGAATGTTTTGGGCAATAAGAATATTTTGAGCAATAATATTTGAATTCCCGCAGAAAATATCTTAATATCTTAAACAAAAAATCAAAGATAAATAAAAAATTAAGCAGTAAACTACAAGGTGTAATATGCACAAAACATTCTTATTGCTCAAGGCCAAAATGATAAACCCTAGATCATGCAAATAACCTTAATTTATCCATAAAATCCTTAATTGATGACATATGGCTCAAATTCAAAGTTCATTACCACCAAATAGATAACCAGAACTCCAATTCTGAAAAAAATCGAATTCTACAACAAAATTAAAATTTGGAAAAAAAAATTCTAAAATTCGAAGTTTACAACACTAACATTATTTATTGGATTCGAGGTAGAGGGATATGGTTTGTTGAATGAGGATTTAGATTTTGAACCCGTCATTTGTTGCTTGAAGAGCTGACGGAGACGGGGGTTTTGACAGAGACGACATGCCGAACTTTACGTAGGTGGAATGATGTAAATTCTAATCACAATTTTTGAGGAAGTGACAGACGATGGAGATGGTGAGGACGACCACTTGAATGTGGGGACAAATTTTTTTTTGAAAAAAAAAATAATTTGTGGGGACGGTGGACCGATTTTTTTTTTCTAGTTTTTAATTTATATATCAAATAAGTGGTAATAATAATATTTATATATATATGAGTAATTTAAAGGAAATAGAACAAAGTTGTAGGGATTGTGGAGGAAAAACAGAAAGTTAGGGATTGAAATGTAAAAGTGATTGAAAATTTAAGTAGGAATATACATTAGTTAAAATATTAAAAAAAGCAAAAATTATATAATGAGTAGTAGATCCAGAAACCCTCGTCCTCGTCTCATACCCAACCGCCGTCTACCTACAACCACGCACCGCAAAGCTTAATCCGCGGGCTCCTAGAACCACCGCAGAAAGAATTGATGGCCGCAAAGTACGACCTCACGCAGCGGACGGCACCGCAACTTGATCGGCACCTCGTGTTCCCGCTGCTTGAATTCCTACAGGAGAGAGGGCTGTACCCGGAGGAGGATATCCTCAAGGCCAAAATCGAGCTGCTCAACCACACCAACATGGTCGATTACGCCATGGACATCCACAAATCTCTCTACCGCACCGAAGACGTTCCCCAGGGTATGCATAATTCTAAGGAATTTGATAATGTGATAAATCCAATCAGTTTCCTCAGGGTATGCATAATTCTAAGGAATTTGATTATGTGATAGATCCAGATTGGGCTATTAGTTTTTCGTAGTTTACGAATAGCGGTCTACCTTTATTTCCCATATTTTGATCTTTTTGTTCTCTTCTCAGCCACACGTTTTGTGTTACCTTATGCGGGGTTGGTGTAGATGTAGTCATATGTTTGTTTACATGGTTAATGTTAATATTTAACTTTGCAATTGGGCAAATTGTTTATAAAGTTGCCTTTTTTTTGAGTTTTGAATTATTCATGGTATTCATCTTGAAAATAGAACTTATTGGAGCTTTGCTTTTATTTACTTAATCTAAACTGTTTCTCATTTTCTGTATGCTTCAGAGATGGTGGAGAGGAGAGCTGAGGTGGTGGGTAGACTGAAGGCATTGGAAGAAGGAGCTGCTCCATTGATATCTTTCTTGCAGAACCCTAATGCATATCAGGAACTGAGGGCTGACAAGCAACACAATCTTCAGATGCTCCACGATCGCTATCAGGTTTGAGTTTTGTCTGTATTGCAAATTTCATGATCATAATGTAGCCTTGCCATGCATTTATTCATGGGACACGAGGTCCTCGAATGAGAAGTAGATTAGTTGGTGGATGGATTTTTCTCTCTTCCAAAAGTTATTTATCCTTGCAACTTTGTGTTTTTCCATAAAATGAATGATGATCCATGCATAATCTGACTTATTCTTAGATCCTGCACAATAAACTTTGGCAAGTATGTTAAATGTTGAGCTAACCTAGCCTATGCATATTTCTGTCAGTATCTTTGTTTGTCTACCAGTACCAGTTGAACTGATAAAACTCATGCTATATGTTGGTCTAGATTGGTCCTGAGCAGATAGAAGCATTGTATCAGTATGCGAAATTCCAATTTGAGTGTGGGAACTACTCGGGTGCTGCTGATTATCTGTATCAGTACAGGGCCTTGTGCACCAATAGTGATAGGAGCTTGAGTGCATTGTGGGGAAAGCTAGCAGCAGAGATATTGATGCAAAATTGGGACATTGCATTGGAAGAGCTTAATCGCGTGAAGGATATCATAGACTCTAAGGTTGGTCCTCTTTCATATTGGTTCTAATAATTTGTGCTGCTCCTTTGTTAAGTGGAACTTATAGTGATGCATGCCTTTGCAGAATTTCTCTTCTCCATTGAATCAAGTCCAGAGCCGAATATGGCTAATGCATTGGAGCTTATTCATCTTCTTTAACCACGACAATGGAATGACTCAGATTATTGACTTGTTTAATCAGGACAAGTATGACAATTGGATGCATTTATTCTGCGGTTATTTTGTTTTATTTTCAGCAATTCTGTGTTTAGTTTTATTGGGACGGAAGGTGTCAAGTATTTTTTTTTCCTGTTATCTTTTTATTAAGGATTTGGAGTATTTGAATGATAACGTCTGTTCCAGGTATCTGAACGCCATTCAAACGAATGCCCCCCATCTGCTACGTTATCTGGCGACTGCTTTCATAGTTAACAAAAGGAGAAGGACTCAGTTTAAAGAATTCATTAAGGTGATTCAGCAAGAGCAATACTCCTATGAAGATCCGATTACTGAGTTTCTGGCATGCATATATGTTAATTATGACTTTGATGGAGCCCAGAAGAAGATGAAAGAGTGTGAAGAAGTAAGTTTCGTTTTCTTAATGGCGTTCATTCTTCTATCTGTAGATATATATTTTATTCTATTCACTTTGATTACGTGGTATTATCTTGATCTTTTGTTCCGTAACCAGTGTGAGTATCATGTATCTGAGAATGAAGGTATTTGATAATTCTTGCTTGACCTAAAGCATATGGATAGACTTAGGCTTTTCTTTTGGATCTCATGCGTAAACAGTTGTTTTCTGATTGTCTCATCTTGTGGAATGAAGGGTTCTGCATAATGTCTTGGTTTTAGAAGGTTAATCTTTTGACAAGTATTTTCTTGTTTACTGATTTGGTACTTTTTATCTCTATGAAGGTGATCATGAATGACCCGTTTCTTGGCAAGAGGGTTGGGGAAGGGAACTTTATTTCTGTTCCTTTACGCGATGAATTCCTTGAAAATGCTCGCCTTTTCATCTTTGAGACCTACTGCCGCATTCATCAGCGCATTGATATGGCGTATGTGAACCCAAAATTGTTGTTTTAATTGCTTAATCGCACCCTTTTCCTTCTCTCCTTCCAAAACACACATACATTAGTCTATATATATTTCAAAATCAGAGTTTGGATAAAACTTTATATATGAGTTAGTGATTTTACTACTATCTGGTCGTTATTGACAGGGTGCTTGCCGAAAAACTGAATTTGAACTACGAGGAAGCAGAAAGATGGATAGTGAATCTTATTAGGACCTCAAAACTTGAAGCAAAAATTGATTCAGAGACCGGGACAATCATTATGGAGCCCAACCACACCAATGTGTAAGTTTTGCTGATTGCGAGAGTTTCTTTGTTCGCATGAGAATGCTTTTTTGTAAGGTAACACTTTTTGTTTTCTTCTCCTGTTTTCAGGTATGAGCAGCTGATTGATCACACTAAAGCGCTTTCTGGCCGCACGTACAAGTTAGTTAGCCAGCTTCTGGATCATGCTCAACCTCAGGCTACCAGATAGATAGTCCATCGGCTTAGCTTCTTCTGCCACCTTTTTTTTTTTTTTCACTTGGATGATTAATTGGTTTTGTTGGGCAAAATTTTGGATTAAGTGCAGATAACATATTTATATGCTGCGGTTGTCATTATTGTTATTGTTATGGTTTTATGGGGGAATTGGACTCCAAAAGTTATTTTATAACAAAATCAATTTCTGTTCACACTTCATCAAACACAAAGCTTGTAAATGAATCTTGTTGGCTTTAAAGAATCAGTACCACTACCGTGTGGGCAGTACTACACGTTCCCCTCATTCTCAAAAAGCTAGAAAATTTAGAAGGTGTAGTGCACTCTCCCAATTTTTTTTTTTTAATGAAAAAATGAGACATATTATATAAATTAAAATATCATTAATTATTTATATTAAAAAAATAAAATAAAAATACCAAAATTCATAATTTTTCATTATCTATAAATAGAGACCACATTTGATAGGTTTTTTTAACACAACTAATTTTCGTTTTTTGGTAACATGTTCACTTTATTGTGTATGTAACATGTTCATTTTATTCTATAACATGTTCATTTTATTATGTAACATGTTCATCTTATTCTATAACATGTTCATTTTATTATGTAACATGTTCATTTTATTCTATAACATGTTCATCTAATTTTCATCTGTGAAAATGTAACATTTTCATCTTATTAGAGAGGATTTTGGTTTGTGAAGGTGGAGAATATTCGATCGAAAGACTAATTATGAAATTTCTTTTACATTCTACTAGTTTTTCACTTTCATTCCCTATAGTATGACTATTGCATAAATTTGAGTTCTTATATGTAGATTATGGTTTATTATTTCAGGGCGGGAGTGCTTGCATTAAACGAGTGAAAGTCGAGCAAGAAATTGACCAGAATTTTGTGTATGAAGTGGAAATTGGAGAAAATAATGTGAGAGCCCGTGATGTAGATATGGAATCTAAACATGTTCATCTTATTCTATAACATGTTTATTTTATTATGTAACATGTTCATCTTAACATGTTCATCTTATCCTATAACATGTTCATTTTATTATGTAACATGTTCATCTTATTTTATAACATGTTCATCTAAATTTCATATGTGAAAAATGTAACATTTTCATCTTATTAGAGAGGATTTTGGTTTGTGAAGGTGGAGGATATTCGACCGAAAGACTAATTTATGGAATTTTTTTTACATTCTACTAGTTTTTCACTTTCATTCCCTATAGTATGACTATTGCATAAATTTGAGTTCTTATCTGTAGATTATGGTTTATTATTTCAGGGCGGAGATGCTTGCATTAAACGAGTGAAAGTCGAGCAAGAAATTGACCAGAATTTTATATATGAAGTGGAAATTGGAGAAAATAATGTGAGAGCCCGTGATGTAGTAATGGAATCTAAACATGTTCATCTTATTCTATAACATGTTCATTTTATTATGTAACATGTTCATCTAAATTTCATCTCTGAAAAATATAACATTTTCATCTTATTCTATGACATGTTCATCTTACTCTATAACATGTTAATCTTACTATGTAACATATTTATCTAATTATATATTTGCGTCATAATCTTCCAATAAGATAAATTAATTGTAAAAAATGATAAATTAATTGTGTTCCAATGTTCATATGTTCATCTTACTATATAACATGTTCATATGTTCATCTTATTTTATAACACGTTCATATGTTCATCTTATTGTGTAAATATGTAACATGTTCATCTTATTCTATAACATGTTCATCTTATTATGTAACATGTTCATCTTATTGTATAAAATGTTCATCTAAATTCCATCTGTAAAATTATAACATTTTCATCTTATTCTATAACATGTTCATTTTACTATATAACATGCGCATCTTAGTATGTAACATGTTCATCTTATTATATATTTGTGTCATCACCTTCCAAAAAGATAATTTAATTATAAAAAATGATAAATTAATTGTGTTCCAAAACTTATCAAATGTGGTCTCTATTTGTAGAGATTAAAAAATTATGAATTTTGGTATTTTTATTTTTATTTTTTAATATAAAATGTGAATAATAATTTAATTTATATAATATGATATGTAAAATTTATTCTCCAATATATATTGGACACTTGTCTTTTTTAAACAAAAAATAAAAATTTGCATACCTTATTACCTTACCTCACGCGATTTTAAGAGAGAGTGCATTTCACACATGCCCTAGCACACCTAGCAAGGTGTGTCAGGGCACACCTAAGTACTCCCTCCATTTTGAAATATAAGGCATTTAAGGTTAATGCACAAATATTAAGGAGACATTAATTAATGAATAAATTGACTAAATTAACCTTATTTACTCTAATCACAACCACTCCACACTTTCTTAATTTCAACACAATGAGGGTATATTTAGAAAAAAATGCAAAAATTTGTCTTGATTTTTGAGCGCGCCTTATATTTCAAAAAAATTGAGAAATCTTTATACGCCTTATATTTCAAAATGGAGGGAGTATTTGCGTTAAGGAATACCTAAATTTTGGATCAGTCGCTTTCTTCACATTGTTTTCAGTGGATGAAATGAATACATTGCCACCTGATAAAGGCAAAGAACCCATCTTCATGGATTTATAATCATTTGTGAATAATTATAGATGTTTCATAAAAATTGTATAATCTAACAATTTACTAAAGATTCAAATTTGAACCCTTTCATCCATTTGAAAATAAAATTATTATTAAAAAAAACAAAGAAACTCAGATAAATTTTAAATAGCACCATTTAGCACAATGAAAAAAAAAAAAAAAAAANAAAAAAAAAAAAAAAAAAACTGTACAGACCCATAGTGCAAGTTAATCATTAGTCCGAGGTTGGCTTCTCCTCGGCCGACATCATTTACTTCCTCAAATCGCAGGTCGGCGGCGTTGCGTAAACGCAGCCACGTGTACCACATGTTAGCAGCTGACTGGGAACACCTATTCCTACAGAGCGTGGCCTAGAAACAGAGGAAATCCGATGAGTGTATGCTTAGAATATCCGCGAGCTGTTGAGGTTTTATGGGAAGTGGGTAATTTCCTTTTTCAATCTGCTATGTGATGATTTCTTTTATTTATGTTCGTTTATGCAATGCCTTTGTTCTTAATCATCGGATAAATACATAAAGTTGGTATCTTTTCCCTCTGTAATTTGATTATTTCCGTTTCTTCGTGTGCTCTACAAAATGCTTTCTTGAACCACGGCAGATTGTTTCATGGGTGCTTAATTCTTTGCTGTGTTGATTAATGACTCTTAATTATTCCTGTAATTTCT